ATTGTGTTATGTATTTCCTGCCTATCAGTCTAACCCGAATCATGCAGCTTTTCTATGACCATCTGAAAAAGACAAATTATGAGCTCTTTTTATTGGGAAAGCAAAAGTGAAACTCTCTATCTGTATGTATATTTCCAAAATGGAAGCACTCAATTTTGAGGTGAAAGTTCATCTTGGAGAAAGAGATGCCTGAAACACTCAGCCAGGTTGCACACACCTTCTCAGACTCAGGACACCACACTCATCAGGTGAATGCAACTGCAGTAGTATCAGTACGTTTCCATCTTCACTGAGATGTTCTGTGCAGCTAGGCACTACTCACTGGAAGAAAGGATTTTGCAACTTGTAGCTATACCAGTTGTTTTCATCCGCTCCTTTTCATGGGAAACAGACTTCAAGATGCGTGCCATTTTGCAACCCTCTTGCTGTGTTTTCGCTTTCCTAGTGCTGGCACTGAGGTGGAACCTACAGCCAAGTTGGAGTTTATTGCTTCTTGCATAGCTGTTTTGTTATGCTCTCAATTATGGTGTTTGACATCTTGGCCAGAGTCAAAGCTGGCCATGTGAGAGCATCTGGAGGCAGCAGCCTTCATGCCAAAAACTTCAGTATTAAGGCAGTTCTATACCCCTGTGAGGAAATCTTTTAGTTTCTTTATGGCTCCTGTTAAGATATGAAAGCATCTTTCCCTTTGGGAAGTAAAAGAAAGATCCAGGATCTTTGTGTTGCAAAGACAAGAGCCTGGTCTCTTAATGTTCCCTATGCCAAAGAAATCTTCAAAAAGCACGGTTTAATTTGTGAAGGTTGGTGTTTGTTGAAATGAGGTCATGCCTTTAAGTGTATGCGTATGTGTTTATGTATCCACATAGGAAAACGTAACCTGTTTACTGGTGCTGACTGTGGCACCAGGCCCCAAATCCTTATGCATTTATTGTCACATGCTACTGTTATTTTGCACATGTGTTGAGACCCCCTCTGGGCTTTATACTCTCATCTCCTTGGTAGTGGAAGGTGCGAACTTGACAAAATGGCTCTGATTTTCTTTCCCTATGAGCAATGAAATAGTCAAGAGAACCTTGGAGGCCTGAGTGTCTTCATGATATTTTGCCTATGCACGCCTATTTATTTGGCTGGCAGAAAAAGAAAATAGGTGGAAATTATTTTGTTCCATTACTTTGTCAGCAGCTCAGAAACAAAATGTGGGGTTTCTTGTCCAGCTTCAGATTCCTCAGCCCACTCTAGGGCATTTCTTATTGCAAAAGATTTTTCCATTTCCGTGAGCACCTCTACTTACAGTCGTTCCTCCTTTTGTTGTCATATAATGTTTATGTATTTGTTACCATCAGGAAAGAGTGGATTTCAGTTGCAATCAAATGTGGCTGTGCAGAGGGAGCTTGTGGCTGCCTTCTAGAGACTACTGCATTTCTTTGGGGCCCAGGCCCAAGAAGAATTCTTGTTTTAAATAGAAAATTCTTGCTTACGTATTGCATTCATTCCATCTCCTTTTTTTTTTTTTTTTTTCCCCTGCTATATATATTATTTTAGTGTTCTGGAATACAAGAGCCTTAACATTGCACATTGTCCTACAGAGTTTTATAGACACTAGAGTGGCTCATAGAGTTTGAATCATCTTTTGGTCACTGTGGATTACTGCAGCATTCTACCTTATGTCTGTCCTATCTAACTGTAATGCCTAACAGTCCAGAAGCTATCAAATTAGTAGTGATTTAAGTTAACTTCCAGGGAAGTAACATTAAATGTTCTAGTTTTTCTGAGACCAGCCTACACAGAGCTGTTTGCCTTGTTTCACTATCCCTGCACAAATGCTGTTCAGGCTGGAAAGGCTGGTTGTGCCCTTCTATTAGAAATTCATCATTTTATATGTCTCAGCTTAAAAATCAGAACTAAGGGAAACTTAGTGTTATGCCACAGCATGAGCAAGATGCTTTTTTCACACTACTCCTGTAATACAGGTTTATTGATGTTGGCTGCACTGGAAGCAAGCAATTACCCAAGCTGTTACCTACAGCTCCTCCTAAGTATTTCACATGGAATTTATCTCAGTCCCTGTAAAACACCAGCCATGCAGAATGCTGTACCTGCTGCTGTTGGTCAGTGTGCAGGAGCAAAGCATGGAGAAGCACTGGGTCTGGGACTGCAGGGAATTTTATCTCCAATCTGCTTGGAGAATACTGCTCAAGTGTGATTTTAGAAATCCTCTAAAGTCGATGGGAGTTGGACACCTAATTTTGCTGAGTCCTTTGAAAATCACATGCAGCAAACAGTACTTCCTCTAACATGTAGAAGGAATTAAGAGATCAGCGAACGCTGGCAAGCTAGTTAATGTGATCTGCAAAGAAAATGCCTTTAGACTTATCTGGGTCCCAGTGACTGCCAAGGGAGGCTAATGACAAGGATCTGAGCAAAGATCTTAATGGTGGCTTGGGAGCCCCAGTAATCAGCTTGGGAAGCTAATGTCAAGGAGCTGGATAAAGATGCAATTAAACTCACCGCAAAGTCTGGGGATAGATTGCACTTCTCAGCTGTGATAACTGAGGAGTTGGCTGTGATTCCAAAACAACAGCATGACAGTAAAGTAGGAAACAAAGGGCAGATATCTCACTGTTTGCATTTCCAGATGTACATATTTATTGTCTGTGTAGAGCCTAAATTACCCTGGCAAAATTCCAAGCAAGGATGCTTTTGCTTTTTCTCTGGTGGGTTAATAAAGTGCAATTAGTCTTTGCTATGTTACACTGTATGGAGGACTGCTGGCTGTTGAGGAGGCTGAGCAGGGCAATGGTTTGAGACTGCTGGGGAAGGGAGGCAGCGGCACTGGCTGGGCTGGGGAGCAGTCTGCCTTCATCTCCGAGAAAACAGGTTTCAAGGAGGGGTGCCTGGGTCTTGTCTGTTACTGCTGCAGCAGGATTAACACTGTGTGGAAAAAGTCTTCCCACGTAATCAGAAATTGGGGAAGAGCAGAATTCTTTGGACTTTTTTCCTGTTGCCTTCCAGATTAGGGTAATACATAATAGTAATAAAGGCAGAATCAGTTGTCTTACCTGCTCTACCTGTATTTGCATGGCACAGGGAGGAGCAGAAGTGCCTTGAGAACTTGCCTTGTTGAGCAAATCTGTTATTTCTCACAAGCACAGAACTGCAAAAAAGCTGGAAAGTGGGGTGCTGGGGTAACTGACTTCAAGGTGCTGTCAGCAGCAAGAAACCTCTCCTTGGTATGGGTTTGGGGGAGATTGAAATTGCTCTGAAGTAAAACCTGACCACCACTCAAAAATGGAAGACTGCATCGTGATGGGACAAGGGGAAATGATTTCAGATGAAAAGAGGGAGATTTAAATTGGGCATACAGAAGTTGTTCACGGTAAGGGTGGTGAGGCACTGGTAGAGGCTGCTCAGAGACGTGATGGATGCCCTGTTCTTGGAGGCATTCCAGGTCAGGCTGGATGGGGTTCTAAGCAGCCTGACCCAGTGTAGGTATCCCTGTTCATTGCAGTGAGCTGGACTAGGTGACTTTTAACTCTAAGAATTCTTTGATTGTCTCAAGGTGGAAGTATTGCACCTACCACAACTTTTATAAATACCCTGGAAAATTAGTTCAAAGATAAGAGAGCAAGTCAGACCCCAGTGTAAAGAAGAGCACATTCATGGCAAGGATTCCTGCAGAGCTGGGTGGGCTGGGCAGCCTGGCCCCATGCCTTGCCCCATGTGTGTCCACCACTGCCCCTTCTTTCTGTGGAAGAGGCCACCTCTAGGTGTGAAAATATCGTTGTGTTTTCTGTCCTACTCATAGCTGGTGTCATTGCTAGCCACAGAATATTTGTTTGCCTCTTCTTCTCATCACAGCTTGGGTTTTGGTTTGCTCTAAAAAGAGTGTCATCCATCTAGAGTGTTGGGGAGTAGCAAGCAGGGCTGAGCGTGAGACCGTTGAGCTTTATTTCCGTGGTGTGACCCATGTGCAAACCTCAGATTGCTGTGCTGTTATACTGGTCCTTCTCCTGGCTCCTGTCAGCAGGTTTGCTCTCTGTTGTGGTTTTCTCTGTGAGTATAATGGTTGTGCTTTGTCGGTCCCCTGCCTTGGTATTCAGTAAGTGCTGCATTTTGATAAAGATTGTGATAAATTACAGTGTTGGGTACAATAATAAATGTTAGCATAGCATATATAGGCCATTGAGGAATACGTCAGACTTGGTTCTGCCTTTTAAATGTGCTTTTGTAACATTCATTTGAAAGGAGCCTTTGCCTTTTGGTCCGTGTCTGTTCTGACAAGTGCCATAGTATATGAGGATGTTAAAAAGTGTGCAAGCATGGGATTCCTCTCCATCAACAGACCCAAGAGCTGCCAGTCTTTGCCAAGTTAGAGCCTTCTGGCATGCACTCATGTAAACATGTTTATGTTTTTGAGGCATCTGTTGAGTGTTTCTGTGAAGTTACATTCTGCTCTTGCTCCTGTGGGAATGGTAGAGCATTGGCCATAGGTTTCTATGGATTGTCAGAAAGTGAGCAGTTAATTCTTGACATCTGTTATGCTGAAGTGACTGCCAAGTCGAGTGGGAAGTTGGCAAGGAAATAAATATTGATGGGCCCTAGCAACAGGTACTCCTGAGAACTCTTGTTCTGGGAATGCTCAGGCAGAGTCCACGTTATTAATGTTGTGATAGGATTTAAGGCCTATTTATAGGGTTTGTCTGTGTCTTATCAGCTCAGAGCACACAAATGGTCTTTGCTGTATGAGGGCCCTGGTGCATCTCCAGTACATGCTTACAACTGAACTCTCATGTTTGATGTCTATCCTATGTCAGAACCACCGCTACGGAGATATGCGCGTGTAAATGAGCTGGATGCAGTGAGTTTTTTTCTCTTAGTAGTATACTGATGATACGTTCATATGCAAGGCCCTTTGGGAATCCTCTGGATGAAACTAGCTTGTGTATTCTGTAAAAGCATTACTTGTGAGCCCTATAAGTGAGCAATGTTATGTTCTCGTTGCAGAACTTGAAGCCAGAGAAGCCTGTGCCTGGCTGCGGGCCGCCGGCTTTCCCCAGTATGCCCAGCTGTTTGAAGGTATGATCCCAAAGAGCAGCTGATACGGAGCTTAAGCAGAACTGCTAATATGAATATTCTTTCAGAATCTGGCACTTCTGATGGAGCATCTCCAAATTCTGCAGTATCTTCATGCGAACCTATAGAAAGCGTGCAGCACGGTGCATGTTCTTGCAGGAGTGACACCTTATTGAGGCTGGAGTGGCCTCAGGAGAATTCTGCACTGGAACAGAGCTTTTCTGGTTGAGGTTAGAGTGTGACTTCTGCTTCTGTGATGTTCTGTTGCTTATAATTTTCTTGGTCTCTTCTTTGAAGCATTATTTATTGTCTGACAAGCAGAAAAATTGTTGAAATAGACTTTGATGTATTTAGCCTGTGCTAAACCTGTGGCAAAATTCCCTGCCATTCAAATTTCAGCTCCAACTTCTTTATTTGCAGATATGCAGTTTCCTATTGACATAAGGACTGTGAGGAAAGACCATGAATTTTTAGATGGAGATGCAATCGAATCACTGTTCAGGTAAATGTTACTCCTGGATCATCTTCAACACCTGCAGGTTCCACAAGGTGTTTGTCACTCAGCTGTTCCTGGCTTGATTTGTGTCAGAGTATGACAGTGTCACTTATGCTGTGACTGTACTGCGTCATAACTGACTCTGCAGGCTCTAATTAAAATGTTGGATAATAACTCTTTCCAAGGATTTAGTTTCACAGCCTCATTTTTTTTTTTTTTTTTATGTTCTTTTAAGAAGTCAGCACAGTGTTCTTTCATTTTCAAAATCTTGAATCAGTTTTTCGCAGTCAATCCTTAAAGCTCATTATGAGATTTTTTTTAAAACAAGTGCATCTGATTAAGTACAGTCCTCTTTAGTTTTGAGATGGCAGAACTGGACCTGTGAATGTCACAGGTTAGTGTTGTCAAAGTTAGTGGGCACTGGTTGGGCCAAAACATATGGAGAACATGTGGCTGTGCACCAGTTGTTGGCACCAATAATGCTGACTCAGTTTAGAAGTTTGCTACTAGTTTGGAGCATGTTGTTTTTTGAGGGGAAAAAAAAAAAAGATTAAATTCAGCTGTTTTTCTTCTACCCTAGACGGCTGAACACGTTGAATAAGTGTGCATTGATGGAAGTGGAAATAAACTGTCAGAGGAACCAGGTATGCTTGTGAAATATGGTTAATGTTCTCAGTAAGAAGGTGATTAACTGTTATATTAAAACACGTATTTTCAAATGTGTATGAAGGATTGCTTGTTGCCAGGCACTCACTTGGTGTGCGGGCAGCACAGCAAACACGGTACCTGGTGCAAATGGTTGGTGTGGCTGAGGTCTCCAAGAGGAGACTTTCTACCTGGAAGTTTTGGTCACTGAAGCATGAAGTGTTTGATTTGTTTGTCTTTGGGTAAAAATACTTGGCCAAATCCTCCAGATTTGCTGCAAAACTGAATTTTTTATCCTGAGATCAAATCTGCCATCTTTTCCTATGGTAAACTTAGCGGGCTTGTCAGCATGCTGGGCTGTGGTTTGTCACCATGTTTTTCAACTAACAGAGCAGACCTCAGGGTAGACCTTTGCTAACTGAATGTTTACATTTCCGTATGTAGGTTTTAGAGGTAGGCAGTTTTGTTTTGGTCACATTTTTTTTGTAATGTAATGTTTTCAAAACTGCCCTTGAAATGTACTTTTCTTCCAAGAGCGACGACTCCGATGACGATGAACCTTGTGCAATAAGTAATAAATGGGCGTATGAGCGGTGCAGCCAGAAGTGGTTTCGCCTTGAGAGCCTAGAAGGTTCCACAGAAGGTGCTGGTGCATCCCTCCCAGGCAGCCCAATGCTGAAGAGCACTGGTAATGAAAACAGAGTCCTTTTGGACCATGGTGACAAACACGATACGTCATCAATTCATAGCACTAGCAGCGGTGACAGTGATGCCGTTAGCTCCCCAAAGTCTTTTGAAGACATGGAAGCCAGCCCGAGTTCTTCCAGTAAAGTTGCTTCACTGGAATCTGCCTTTAATTGCTCACTTCCCCCCAGTTTAAATGCCACCAATGAGAAGAAGCTTTGGGATAAGTCACCGTACAAAAAGAGGAAGAGCCTTCTAAAGAAAATGGAGAAGTTGCACTTACGGAGCAGCAACTTAAGGAGTGGTCAGTCAAAGGCCAAACCCATCATAAGTGAACCTTTCCTTCTGGAAGGACTTAATGAGGAGAAGATGAAGATGCTTAACTGTGTAAATATCGCTGACCTCCCTGGCATCCAAACAAAGAACAATTCTTCCTGTTCTCCTCCTAGCTGCATAAGAAACAATAAGTTTGAAAGCAGAACGGTGAGCACTGCCCGTCCTCTTAAAAAACCAGAAAGCTGCTGTGAAAGAAAGGGGAGGTGTGCTGAGGACTTGGGCAAATGCCTGCTGTGGAGTGATGCACCTCAGGGAAACCTAAACAATGAAGTAGAGTTGCAAACAAATCAGATGTTTCAAGTACCACACGGCCACAAACCTGGCACTTTCCCCAAAGCCCTCATGAAAAGTCCTGTGTCTCCAGGAGATGACTCTCCTGTCAGCTGGAGAACTGGCTGTGGAGGGAGCTGGAGCAGAAGCAAGACCAAGGACTCCAAAGCCCCTAGCAGCCCCATCTCACGCGCAGATAACAGGCTGAGTGTGTATGACAACATGCCTAATGTTGAATTTGATAAGCTGGAAGCAGCAGAAGTTGGAGATGATGATGTTTTTTCAGAACTGAACAGTGTTATAGAAGATGTCAAGGGTCTCAGAAAGCTGGTTGATCAGTGGACAGAGAAGTTCTCAGATGATGGATATTTGGACTTACCCAGTGACTTAACGTCTCTGTATCCATCCTCACCTAAAGAAATCTCTCTTGACACAGAGCACTCGGAAATTAAGAGAGCAGCTGTGCTGTCCTCTGAGGGAGAGGACAGCTGTGAGCTGGGCAAGGAGCTCAGCTCTACAGACCTGGTGTTCATAACAGACCCTACAAAGACCAACAGGTCAGTCATCCTTGGGTTTCTCTATTAAAACACCCTTCTAGAAGCTTTCCCTGTTGATTCTCTCCACTGAAAACATAATCGTTATTCCAGAACAAAATATAATTAAGGGAGGCTATTCTGGGAATTAGAGTCTGCACTGGTGGTGCCAAGCACTTCTGGGCTCTAGGCAGCATGAAGTCTGCTTACGTCTGCTCTGATCTTGTTGGAAGCAGGGCTCTCATGATCTCAGGTTGGGTAGTTGGAAGCAGTTATTCTCAGGAAGAGTGGTAATGCAGTGACACAGCTGCCCAGGGAGGTTGCGGGCTCATCGTCCTGGAGTTGTTCAGGAGCTGTGGAGATGTGGCACTGAGTGACACGTGAGCACGGTAGGGATGGGCTGGTGCTTAGACAAGATGATCTTAGTGGTCTTTTCCAACCTTAATGATTTTTATGACTCATTCAGTACTTAGACATTTGGAGTCAGACTTACAGCTGGCTTGCTGTGCTTCTTACTGAAATCTTTGGTACAGCCGTAGAGAGTAGCACTTTGTAAGTGATTAACCACAGTTGTTTGGGAGGCACGGGTTGTGTTGAGTATTGGGGGTTTCACAGAAGCAAGCAGAAAGCTAAGAGGGACAATGGGAAATTGTCCTTTGGCATGACCAACACTTATCCTGTAGGCACAGGAAGCAATGTGGGTCTGTGGAAGACAGCAGGATCGTGGAAGGCTTTTCCACACGGGCTGACAGTCCATCGGCCACCCAGCTGGCCCGGGCACAGAAGCTGGCACTGCTGAAACTCACTGCTGTCATGGACAGATACTCCCCTTCCAGTAAGCAGGGCTGGAACTGGTAAGTAGTCTGTTGTTAAAGCAAATGCTGTTGGAAAGACAGGGTTTAAAACAAGCAGGTGAATTTCCTTGTCTGACTAGGTGACATTGTCCACAGTGAAGAATTTCATCCTGCTAAATCAGTGCTGTTTTGTGCTTATTGCGGTGGCTCCAGCATTTCATCTGCTGTAGACAAAACTCCTGTTTCTCACTGGTCCCTGGTTTCAGAGCACTTTGTGTTTTCTCTCTGAGTCTTCCCATGTTTGGGGCTGAGGTGCTTGGCAGAGACTACAGGACCGGAGGTAAGTGCGGACTGGGCAGAGCTGTGCTGGACAGCTGTTAAGTTACATGTGCTGGTTTTTGTTTTCAGGACTATACCAAAGTCAAAAAAAATAAACACCTCTGACTACAAGGACAAAAATGTCTTTGGGGTCCCCTTGCTGCTGAACGTTCAGCGAACAAACCACCCGCTGCCTATCGGCATCCTGCAGGCACTGGATTATTTAAGAAGCCACTTCCTTGACCAGGTATGGCCTGAGGACATATCACTAAGCAGTCATGGTATGCCTGGGGGGATTAGCCATTCTGCTTCCACTGGTACCAGAATATGTTGGTGTTAAGTCCTGCTACCGTAGGGTTTTAACTATCGAAAGGAAAGGGAGGGAGCAATGATTTTGTGTTGAGGTTTGAGTCCTGATGACTTTGTCTTTAACTTTTTCCTTTTCCCTTGTAGGTTGGCCTGTTCCGCAAATCTGGTGTTAGATCCAGGATCCTGTCCTTAAGAGAAATGAATGAAACCAGGTCCAACAATGTGTGCTACGAAGGGCAGTCAGCCTTTGATGTGGCAGATATGGTGAAGCAGTATTTCCGAGACCTTCCGGAGCCCATATTTACCAGCAGGCTCTGTGAATCCTTCCTCCACATCTACCAATGTAGGTAACAAAAGCTTTGGCTTTCCAATTCCTTGAGTATCTTGTGCTTCTTTAGCATTTGGCTGTATAAAGCTGGACAGACTGGGACTGGTGCTATGATGTTACCTTAGTGTCATGCAGTCAGATGAGTCAGGGCCTGACTGAAAAGACAACTTCAGTGCTGTTATTTGGGCTGCAACTAGAGCCAGCTCTGTAAGCCCACTGGCACGACATTGAAGAAAAACTACAAACTGTGCACCAGCATTGTGGAATGTGTATTGCCACGTGGTGGGTAAAAGCTGTACATGTGCTGTGATGGCAGTAGCAGCCTTCGTGCTATGAGCTGGAATGAAAGGGCAATGCATGAACCTATGTTCTCAGTGCCCTGCTTGGCATGCCTTTGGATGCTGCCCTGCAATCACGTGTGAATTCCATTGTTTTCTGTTTCCAGATGTGCCGAAGGACCAGCAACTGCAGGCTGTCCAGGCTGCCATTCTCCTTCTGCCTAAGGAGAACCGGGAAGCCTTGAAAATTCTCCTCTTCTTCCTACGAGATGTGGTCGCGTGTGTTGAGGAAAACCAAATGACCCCAACCAACATTGCTGTCTGTCTCGCCCCATCGCTGTTTCACCTCAACACCCTCAGACGGGACAGTTCCTCCTCCTCCACTCGGTATGTCATCCTGTTGAGCATTGCTGCTTGCAGCAGCATTTTTCTTTGCTAGACCAATGCTTTGTGTAGTTGTCACAGACCGAGTGCTTCTAGGGGAGGCTAGTTGGGGTTTGGTGCAGATGTGGGAGCTTCCCTCAGTTCAGGCTCAGCACAGGCAATGTGCCCCTTCTGTCCCACTGCTGGTGAGTGTGTGAGCAAGGCAGCACATCCCTGGCACTCTGGAGTGCCTCCTGTTCTGCTGCCTGACTGCGCCCACTGCCTGTGTTACCATGGGGTGTGCGGGACCTGCAGACCCCTGGCAGCCTGCAGCAGCTGCTGTCACTCGTTCCTCTGGGCGATAAGGGATTGTTTCTGCCAAACAGAGCCACGGGGATCCTGCACGTTTATCTCCTTAAGTAGAAGTTATGCTATCTGGGTTGCATAACATCTCCTGCTCCTACGTGCGGAGAGGAAGGTGCCCTTGGGCCAAAGCAGGCAAATGGAATCTCAGAGAGCATTCAGCTTTATCTATGCTCCTGAGGCACAGCTGTTTGCTGTGCTCTGTGCCCCTGGGTGTGGACAGACATGTCTCAGGGCACGGAGGCTTTTAGGGTAGCACAGTGCCCAGCAGCACAGCCACTTGTCACTCCATAGGTGACTTAAAAATTGGGGCTGCTCTCAGTGAGGCAGGAGCAAGGGCAGCTACTCCTCCCAGCTGCAGGTGCCTGTGAGCACCTCCTGGCTTCAATTCAACAATCCTCTGAAATACCAGGATCAGAAGGAGAGTCTGAGCTTTCCCTTTGCTGTCACTGTGCAGAAGGGAGTTCCTTTGAACCCTCAGCAGTGCTGTAACCAGGCATTAATGCTGCAGAGCAGGGTTCAGACTTCAAAGCACAGGGCAGGCAAGGCTGCCTTTGAGGTGTGTGGCTGAGGACTTGATCCCCCAATGGATTTTGGAGCCGTTTGGCAGGAATGCACATAGATAAGAAGTGGCAGAAACCAGGATTAATTCTGTCATATAGTGAGTATGAAATAAAGAGGGGTCTGTTTTTGAAATGTGGACCGTGTAGTCCTTGTGGATGTTGTAGGGTCTCAGACAAGCACAGCAGCTGAAGGCTGCACAAAGAGCAGTTGGGTTATGGCTCTCTGTGGCCATGTGTGATGTGATCTGGGAAGCAAAGTGCTGTGCCCTGTCTCTCCTGAGCAGCTGGCCCCGCCTTGGTTGCAGTCAGGGTGCCCCAGCAGGGGTGATGCAGTGATGCTATGTAAGCCTTGCACGGCACTTCTGATCCCACGCAGTTTCTTGCTCACTATCTTTTCCTTTCCCATTCACAGATCAAGCCAGAGGAAATGCAGCCTGGGGAAGCCGGACCAGAAGGAGCTGAGCGACAACCTGGCAGCCACGCAGGGCTTGGCCCACATGATAACAGAATGCAACAGGCTCTTCCAGGTAAGGTGCTGGATGTCGCACTGCGAAAGCATTGGCAGGGGTTTGCTGCCTTGGGCTTGGGGCCAGCTTGGTGTTTGTGCAGTCGAGGGCTGCCCCATTCCCACTGGTGCCAGGCCTGGCCCTCCCATCTTGAGGGAGCTGGCAAGGGATGACACTCTGTGCTGGAACTGTGGTTGTAGTGACAGCCATGCCTGCGTCTGGCCACAGCCCCTCACCTCCCCCCCATTAATTTGCATTTGGATCTTCCCACAGACTGATTTCCCAGCTTGACCTCGGCCCTTCCTTGTTATTATGGACTTTGCTAGCACTTACTGGACTGGGACTCACGCTGTCTACTATCACCAATTCTGAGCCTGCCCTGTTGGCTGCTGCCCCACCTCCTGGCTCACTTAGCACTCCTCACCACGGATGTGCCTGATGATCTGCACTTGGGGCTGACCCTGTTTTCTACTGTTGTCTGCCACTCTCTCAGGTACTGGGGGACAGGGTGGCTTCTTCTGCAGCCTTATCACAACTGATTCGCAGCCCCCTTATCCCAGGGAGCCCTCGGTGCATCCCATTATTCAGCTCTGCTCTTCTTTCTTGCACATGGCTCTTAGCAGTATGGAGCTGCCTCCCTCACCCTTCCCCAGTGAGCCCTGAAGCCGGGGTGGTGTGTTCTAAACTCTCTCATGGCTCTCAGCCCCAGCATTGCTGCCTGCCCCAGAGCTACTCTTGGGCCAGCAGCCATCCTGCACCATCCTGCTATGAGTAGTGCACAGTGAGGGGCTGTGACAACATCCTCTGCCCTTCTGGGGGAGGGATCTGGTGCTGGCACTAGAGGACAGCTGAGACAGGGTTGCTCCCTTTCCTGATGGTGACCATGAGGAGTGGCCTCTGTGGAGCTCTACCTGGATGTGGACCTGCTCAGCCAGACTCAAGCCTTCATTACTGGACCACGCCTGACCCTGGCTGCTGTCTCTAGACCAGAACCTACCTGGCTTGACCTTGACATCAAAAAGCAGCTGGTGCTGGAACTTGTGCTCAGCTGCTAGGCACTGCTCAGGAACTGTGGGATGGCTATGGTGCCCAGCTCTGCCTTCTGAGGCGGGATGGTTCTGCCATAGGATGGGGGCAGGTGTAGGAGGTGATACAAACAGATGTATCAGCAAGCAGGTAAACCAAGGGAGATACCCAGTGTCACAGTCCTTCCAGAGGAAGGCAGAGGGGAAATGCCTATCCCTGCTGCCAGCAGTGTTCAAAGTCCCCCGAGTCCTCATGCACCTTTGCTGGCTTATGTTTAATCTCACGCACCTGTGGTCTCCTTTAGCTTTGGGTTTATTGGAAGGTGCAGTAACAGGGAAAGCAGCATGGAGTTCCCATTTTACCAGCTGTGAGGACTCTGCTAGTAGATCTGCCCTAGGCTTGTGCACCAGTAGAGTGTGGCTGCATGCATACTACTTAGCAGCTGGGCTTTGAAGGTAGGAGGCACTGCTTGTCTGGGTGCTAATACAGGGCCCTTGCAAGGTACAGCAATAAGAATGTGGGATGTCCTTGCAGGTGGTATGCCTCAGTGTTCTCCACTGTCCTGTTAAGTACTGATTCACAGCCCCCTGCTGTTTAAAGGTTTCTCAGAGAGGGGTTGGAGTCAGGGTGCCCTAGCAGGGGTAATGCAGTGATGCCATGTGAGCCTTGCACAGCACCTCTGATCCCACACAGTCTCTTGCTCACTGCCTTTTCCTTCCCCATCCACAGATTGAGCCAGAGAAGAGTTTGACCTCTTCTGCAGCTACAAGTGTGCAGCCCTATCAGTTCACTAACACCTTCTATGCAGTGAGCACCCTGAGCACCAACCCCGCACTTAGGTGAGGGCTGTGAAAGACACCATCAAACATGGGACGCACCTTGCAGATCCCTTGTATTTCTGATTTCTCAAACTTCAGGATAAAGAGTACAGCCATGGGGATTCAGTTCCTGTGACCAGAAATGCTCTTAGCTGTGCCCACATCACCTGTTGTCTGCCTCTGGACCTGGATACGATCGCCAGCGCTTGTTCTCATGGGAGACTTCAACTTCCCTGATGTATGTTGGAAACATAACACAGCACAGAGGAAGCAGTCCAGGAGGTTTCTAGACTGTGTGGTTAAGCAGCTGGTAGGAGAGCCTACTAGGCGTGGTGTCCTGCTGGACCTGGTCTTTGCTAACAGAGAAGAACTGGTGGGAGAAGTGAAGGTTGGGGACCATCTTGGGCAGAGTGACCACAGAATTGTAGAATTCTCCGTTCTTGGAGTCGTCAAAAGAGTGACCAGCAAAACTACTTCCTTGAACTTTCAAAGGGTGGACTTTGATCTGTTCAGGGTGCTTGTAGCATGGGTCCCTTGGGAGTCGCTTCTCAAGGGTGAAGGGGTCCAGGAAGCCTTGGACGCTCCTCGAGATGGAAATCTTAAGGCACAAGAACAGGCTGTTCCCCTGAGTGCCGTAAGGCGAGCTGTAGGGGAAGACAACTGGTGTGGATAAGCCGGGAATTACTGTTGAGACTCAGGGAGAATAGGAGTGTCTATGTCTTCTTGCAGAAGGGACAGGCTACTTGGGGAGATTACAAGGGAGTAGCTAAGGTATGCAGGGAGAAGGTTAGGAAGGCAAAAGCCCAACTTCAACTCACATTGGCCACTGCCGTAAAAGACAATAAAAAATCCTTTTGTAAGTATATCAAAGGCAAAAGAAGAACCAAGGATAATTTTCATCCTATACTTGATGCAGCAGGGAATGCGGCCACGGAAGACAAAGAGAAGGCTGATGTCCTCAATGCCTTTAATAGCCAGACCAGTTATCCTCTGACATTTTACGCCCTGATCTGGCAGTCTGGGATGCTACTCATAATATGCCCCCAGTAGTTCAGGTAGAGACAGAGAGCTTCTCCTCCATCTGGACTGTCACAAGTCCATGGGACCGGATAGGCTGCACCCTTGGGGGCTGAGGGAGCTGGGGGGGTGATGGCCGAGCTGCTCTCAGCCATCAATCTGCGCTGGCTAACTGGAGAGGGCCCAGAGGATTGGAGGCTTGCTGATGTGACTCCCATCTTCAAGAAGGGCTATAAGGAGGATCTGAGGAGCTATATGCCTGTGAGCCTGACCTTGGTACCAGGGGAAGTAATGGAGCAAATCATCTCAGGTGAGATTGCACGGCAGGTGCGCTGTGTCTGGGGAATCAGGCCCAGCCAGGGTTAGTGAAAGGCAGGCTGTGCCTGACCAACCTCATCTCCTTCTATGACTGGGTGACCAGCCTGGTAGATGAAGGAAGGGCTGTTGGTGCAGTCTACCTGGGCTTCAGCAAAGCCGTTGACAGGGTTTCTCACAGGCTTCTTCTGGGGAAACGGGCTGCCTGTGGGCTGGACTGGACAGGTCCTTTGGGTAAGGAACTGGCTGAGGGCTGTTCCCAGCACATCGTGGTGAATGGAGTGAAGTCCAGCTGGTGACCCGTGTCAAGTGGTGTCCCCCAGGGCTCGGCACTGGAGCCCATCTTGTTTAATGTCTTTATTGATGACCTGGGTGGGGGCACTGAGTGCACCCTCAGTAAGTTTGCAGATGACACCAAGCTGGGAGGTGGCATCGATCTGCCTGAGGGTAGAGAGGCCTTTCAGAGGGATTTAGATAAGCTGGATCACAGGGCTGAGATGAATAGGATGAGATTCCACCATCCCATTCAAGCATCGGGTCCTGCACTTCAGGCACAACAACCTCATGCAGTGCTATAGGCTTGGGGACAAGGGGCTGGATGGTTGTGAAGAAGAAAGGTACCGGGGGCTGTTGGTTGATGCTCAGCTGAACATGAGCTGATAGTGTGCACAGCTGGTGAAGAGGGCCAATGGCATCCTGGCCTGCATAAGAAACAGTGGGGCCAGCAGGAGCAGGGAGGTGATCGTCCCTCTGTGCTCAGTGTGGGTGAGGCTGCAACTTGAGTACTGTGTACTTGAGTACTTTGGGCCCCTCACTACAGGAAAGATGTTGAGGCCCTGGAGTGTGTCCAGAGAAGGGCAATGAAACTGGTGAGGGGTCTGGAGCACAAGTCTTATGAGGAGCGGCTGAGGGAGCTGGGATTGTTCAGACTGGAGAAGAGGAGGCTCAGGGGAAACCTCATTGCATTGCACAACCTCCTGAGGGGAGGTGGTGGTGAGCAGGGGTTTGGCCTCTTCTCCCAGGCAGCAAACAGGACCCAAGGAAGTAGCTGCAAGTTGTGAGTGCCAGTGTGTGGTGGTGGAAATAAAGCAGTGATTCTACACCCTGCCATGGGACCAGAAGAGGGAGAAAGCAGCCAACAGCCTTGTCAATAACACCATTTTTTTTCTGAAAGTGTTTTTATTTTGTCTCCAAACAGCAGGCTGGGAGGCAGATGTTGGCCTCCCAGCCCACTGGAGGCGTGCTTTGATGACAGTGGGATGAGGCCTAGCGCCGTCGTCGGGGCCGCCTCTTGCGGGGTGGGGGCGAATCCTGGGGGCTGCTGCGGGCCTTCCTCTTCGGGGCGCGTCGGGGTGCCCCACATGAGCGGTCTCTGCTCCGGATGGAAGGGCCCGCAGCTGCTGCCTGCCCTGGCTCTTCCTGCGGCTCCTCTGCTGCGGTGGCGGTGCCGGGGAGCCCAGGTCCCCCAGTGGAGCCACCGAGCAGCTCCTCGGTGCCAGAGGCAGGAGGATGCTGAGGGGAGGTGCTGATGTTGGGGCTGGCTGCAGGGCCGTCCTCCCGCCCTCGTGCAGCACGGCCGTCCTGCTGGTCCAGCTGGCGGTGGATCAGGGGGCCATACAGGGCTGCGGCGATGCTGATGAGCTGCTGCACAAAGGGCACGACGTCGCCGTGGGTGATCACCTCCAGCTCCCGTACCAAGGCCGCCTGGTCGAGCCCATGCTCACAAAGGAAGTTCACAGTGGCCCACAGTCCTGCTTGCACCTCCCACCAGTTGTCGCTGGACATTGCCCGGATCTCCTCTTGCAGCCAGAAGAGCAGGGGTGCGAGGTCTTCCCGATGTTGACTGAAAAATGCAGCCCAGACCTCGGCAGGGAAGTTGTGCTCCGGTGGAATGAGCTCCGGCTCTGCAGGCACCGGCTCTGCAGGCACTGACTCTGAAGGCCCCTGCTCGTCCTGCAGGCCATCACCTGAGTGTCCCGTGGGCTGCGGGATGAGACACTCAAGATAATCGTCATCCGCCCTCATGGAGTAGCGGATGGTGATTATTTTGTGCCCACATACGGCACAAGTTGGCTTCCTCTGGGCCCACCAGATGGCACAGCCATAGCAGAGCTGATGCTGGCAGGGGGTCACATGGGTGACATCCTCCCGAGCTTGCCCGCAGACGGGGCAGGTCCAGTTGGATGGCACGTCCATGGTCCCGGGCTCTGCGGTGGGCTGGGGAGACCTGAGGTTGGGAAGCTGCTCCCCTCACTGGTGCTGCAGCAGGCAGAAGGTATTACAAACTGCAAAAGAGAAAGAGAGGCCACGGTCGCTTGCTGCCACAGGGGCAGGCAGCAGTGATGCCCCCCTGGTCCCTCAGCAAGAAACCCTCCCGGTCCCTGTTCTCCACCAGCTGCTGCAGGGGCCACATCCTGCACCTCTCACCTCTGCTGCTGCAAGTGCACCTTGCAGAGCCCCAGCTGCCTGAGCCAGGCAAGGCTGGGGGAAAAGCTGGTGATGCTGTGGGATGGGCAGCAAGAACTGCTGCCAGTAGCCCCACAGCACAACACAACCACTTGGTTCAGTGCTCCAAGTCCAACAGCTACGCTCAGCTGGAGTCCAGGCACGAGTGCACGCTGGCCTCTGCTGGCACCCAAATGGATACAGCAAGGGCTGTTGAGGTCACAGTTGTCTCTCGTTGCCGTCACAACTCCTCGGTTGGTGACCTCACAGTCCATCACTGCACGTATTGGGGCACCAGCCTGGGCTTCCCTCACCATCCGTCATTCCATGATTTTCCTTCATAATGGCAATATACTTGGAAAAACAAATATTGCACATGTTTCTACTGCACATGTAACTTGTAACCGACTTGTCATGAGGTGGTGCCACAAGACGACGTGACAAAGCTAGGCTGGTTCAACATGCAGCAATGGATGCCGCTGCGGTTGGCCTGAGGGCCAGCTCCTCAAAGTCCCTGCCTGCCCGCCCTGCGTGGATGATGGACTGTGTGCCTTGCTTGCAGAGCGGGCACTGGGGCCTGCTGCTAGTCCACTGCTGGATGCGGTGGAAACAAACCTGGTGGCAGCATGGCACAGTGTATACCACGCTGTCCCAGTTCTCCAGGCACAAGGGGCAGTGGGTGCCTAAAGCTGCTTCCACACTTCCACCAGTTGCAGTGGGAATGGAGGAGTGGGAGATGACAATTTGCTCCCCGACACTGATGCTGGGGCAGCGGGTGTCACATTGCAATAGGACAAGAGACCCCACGGGCACCGACCAACCTGGGGAGGGTTCCTCAAGAAGCATCCCCCCAGCTGCCAGCGTGAGGCATTGCCACGCTGCCTACCTGCACTGCTGCACGCGACTCTGAACAAAGTCCCTTCTGCCTGCTCCCAGCAGGGTCAGGGTACGGCACAAGTGGCTCTGAGACGGCCGCTGAGAGCTGCGCTGGCAGCACCCAGAGCACGTTCCAGCTCCAAACTCGCCCTGTTGCGCTCCGGTCCTCGCACACACGCTCGGTCCGATGCCAGGCACGAACTGATCGGCTGGGCTGCCGCACCCGCGTTGCAGCAGGGTGGGCTGAGCAGTCACAATCCACCGCACAGCGATGTCACAAAGGATCACTTGGCCCTGGTGCCAGTCCTCACCTTCACTCCGGGTCATCACCACCCGTCCCACAGTGATGCCGTCATCCATGGCTTGGTCATCACAATGAGCCTCACCTGCTGCACGTGTGCCAGCAGCACTCAAGCCCCAGCAGACGTTTCTGGGCCTTCCCCTGCACCTCTGCTTGCTTGGCATCAGTGTTTCACACCAATCACCGGTGCCTGGGACACGTCTTTCCACAGGCCCCATCGGGTTGCTCAGGCCATGGCACGCAGCCCCAGGCATGTACAACAGGAAGGTTTATTCAGTAAAAGGTCACACTTCCCTCTGGCTCTTGGCCTTGATGATTGTAGAGGTCTTCTCCAGCCTTAATGGTTCTAAGAGGTTTTTCCAGGCAACAAACAGGACCTGGGGAAAAATCTTTCCTCTCAGAGAGTGATCAGGCACTTCAATGGCTGCCCAGCAGGTGGTGGAGTCACCATCGCTGGCCGTGTTCAAGAGAAGGCTGGATGAGGAGCTACGAGATGAGGTTTAGTACTTGGGGTAATGAGAAGACAGTTGGAATAGATGATCTTATCGGTCGTTTCCAAGCTTGTGATTCTGTGTTCCCTCCAGTTCCCTCCCCTTTCCCCCTCTGGGTGCTGCTCCTCTACAGCGCCTTCCCTTGCCATCAGACACGGACACAGGCAGTCAGTCCTTTTATTGTTACCCCACAGGGAACAAGTTTGTTACATTCTCTCCACCGGCTTAATTCCCAGGATGTCAAAACCCTTGGCCATGATGGTGGCTGTGGCCTCACACAGCAGCAACCTCCACATATTCACCTTCACAATCTGGCCTGCAAAACAACAACAGACAAACACTGAAGCTGGAGCCACTGCTCAGACGAACCACCTCTGCCCTCTCTCTTGGGGCCCATCTGCCCCCAAGCTGCTGCCCCTGGGATGGGCTGCTCACAGTTTTATCCTCCTCCTCCGCCAACCCCTTCAGCCCTCTCCCATGGACAGCACTTGTTGGACCGCCACCAGTAAGGCAACAACCGCCTTCCCCACACAGGGAAAGACCCTGCAGTACACAATGACATGCACAGCACCGCGTGGCCAGCACTCACCACTCTGCCTGTCCTTCTCAACGCAGTAGCAGTTGTCGTAAAACTCGGTGAAGGTGGTGGCCAGCTCATAAAGGTAATCACAGAGGGTATGCAGTAACAGATCATCCAGGATCTTCTGCAGAATTTCTGGGAACCTCATGATGCACTTGCCCAGTTTCCACTCCTTCTCATGGTCAAGGACAAGTGCCTCCTCCCTTGCTGCCTTCCGCAGCATCTCCTCATCAATATTGGCCAGACGAGCAATAGCCCTGAAATGATACAGACCGCGGTCTGCTTGTCATTACCAACAACTTCCACCATTGCAGAGCAGTACCCTGCTTCAGGTACCACAGGCAAATGTCTCCAGTGACGTGGACATTGGACAATGAGTGATGGAGCTGACTTCTCTTTCCACATACCCCTAACAGCACTGACTGAACAAAAGCCACTCCTTCCCCACCTCCCTGTGCACTACAGACTCAGTGCTAATTATATGCTTCAAGTGACTCCCTCCACACTCAACTCACCTGATCCGCGTGAAGGCATACAGCAAATAAGCAGCTGTATTTCCTCGGTCATCCAGCATCTTGTCAAAGGAGAACACGTAGTCATTTAGTCTGTTGTGGGAGAGATCTGCATACTTAATGCATCCAAATGCGACTGACATCTGGGCAGCTTTCAGCTCTTCTGGTGTGAGGACCTATTACAATTTTAAAACGGGTAATGATCAAAAGGAGGAAAGCTACGTTGGCACCACCAACGCCCAACAGCTTGTATGACAAGCTCAGGAGTTTTTAACCCATGGCACATGGAAGCAAGTTCCCAACTGCCCTTCCACATGGGGGACTGACACCCCATCCGTGCCTTCAGGCCTGCATGCACACAGTGCATCCTCTGCTGCTGAAGGCCTGCCCCCCACATAACATCTAACCATCTGCCACCATGCAGGCGGACTTTCACACTGTGCTCCCACTTCTCACAACTTGTGCACACACACTGTGCTCTGAAATGCCCCTACAGAGCATTCTGGATCAGCCAAACACTCAAAGAGCACCTCTTTGGTACAAATGCAAGCTGTCAGCATGGCCAAGTGATTTGTACCTACATTGTATGAGCCCTTGAGAGATCTTCATGTTGTTTCCATTGAAAAGGGAGCTTTCAGCAAAGCATGAAGGAGCCATGCTTCCCAATCCCATGCAGCCTGGCTGCATCCATTGTCTCAGCACACATTCAAAATGTCAAAGTTTTACACCCGTGAACAAATCTGTGTGGTTCCCTGGAAATATGAGCTACCTTGTCCCGTTCCTTGTCTTTCAGCTTGTCCATGGCCCGTTTCAGCCCCTCTTCCAGAAGATCCATAAGACGCACTGTATCCCCTGAACGAGTTTTGAACTTCTTCCTGAAAACATACACAGCCAAAATGACCACTTACACATGAGGCAAAACACTCCCAGGAATTTCCACTGCTAACACCTCTGGTACATTAAAAAAAAACACGATCCCACACATTGCTTTGTACTGAAGAACTGGGCACCAGACAGCCAAACCTAATGAAAGGTGTAGGAATCTAACAATATACATAGGATAGGTGAGAGTGGGGGAACAGGGAAGGCTCCAACAGCCAGAACTGTCCCAGTATCAGGCAGGACACAATACCAGTGCAAGACTCGAATCCAGCAAGGCATCTTTACTTTTGTAACAAGCCCACAGCAAAACCACTCGGTCTGCAGCATTATGTGACTGCAGTACACAACTGGTTTAACTGAAACACAAGATCAACTCTGGAGCACAAGGGCATAACCTGCACACCAGAACACTGGTGTGCTTTTCCCAACTTCTATTCCATCTTCTTCAGGGAAATCAGAAAACAAGAATTTAGTGGCCTTTACCACTGCTATCTCCAGTATTTGCATTACCTTCCTCTGCATTTCTACCAGCCAATTCACAGCCCTCTGCCCAAATACGAGGCAGTAGAAGCCAGACCTGACTTCAACACTAAGGGCCCTGATATGGCATATCACATACATACTTGTCAATAAACAAGCAAAGGTCTTCTGCACTCAATCAAACATCCTCTTCAGAGCACGTTCAGAGGAAAAAAAGTACAAGTCTAGAGACTTACTTGTCTTCTCCCAACACCACTCCGAATGCAGCATGAGTGATTCTGGTTACTTTGGGGTCATACCAGCCAATCATCTGCCCAGCTGCAAACACTGTTTGCAAATGCACCGACTGGAAGGAAGAAATATCAACAACCAGTTCTCAACCCACTCTTCTGGACATGGCTTTCTCGTCACTTCCATTGCCTTTACAATGTTGCTTTGACAATGCGAACTTTAAATGTTTTTGGCTCCACTTCCCCTTCAGAAAGTTTAACCTTCCAGAACTTGCTGGGCTTACAAAAGCAGCAAACAGCAAACTTACATCAGGGCTCAGATACGGCACTGACAGTCCTGCATTTCCTCAGGTAAGGAGAGATGTAAGGTATACACAGTACATCTCTCTATGAGATTTACGCTCAGCATATCTCCAATGGTCACTGTGCTTCTCTCATCACTTCATTCCACGGCTCTTCACAGAGGCCACCAGCCAGCACATCAGATTCACCATTCTACCACTAAGGTCAAAAGCCCATACAGCACATGGAAAACCCTACAGAGGAGTTCCATTTAACTCACTGTTGTGCTTGTTATTTATGAGATTTCTGATTACCTGTATCAGCAGAAACAGGAGAGACTGACATACTCACCTGGCCACTGTCGACAACATAGATAAGGATATCACCCTTCTCTTCAAGCAGCCTGTGTCTAAGTGCAGCCAAGTCAGACGTGTCATATGTGTAACCTCCATCTGACTTCACGATTGTCAGCGGGACAGAGAAACCTGGGACAAAGACCACCTTCCGGCCATCATCCACCTGGACAAAGCCTAGAAAAGCAATGCAATACTGCACTGTATCTCAAGGGGAGGCTGTGGGACTCGACAGGCAGAAACGTCTCCTGTTCTGATGCTATCAGAAAGAGAAGTCCATGCACATGCATTAATAAATACTTAACATCTCAAAACATGAACAAAACCAAACACTAAGCCTAAATGAGAACTCCCTTAACAGCCAAGTCAAATTTTGTGTTGCACTTCCAGAACTCAAGGCCAGGCACAAGAAAACAGCTCTGTACCACTCTGGCTTTTCCAGAAGAGACTTAGTTGGATTTAAAAACCCACATCATTGGCATCCAGATCTACCTTTGCAGCTGCAAAAATACCATTACAAAGGAAGGCGCAAAAGGCAATGGAAGCTACAGAGATGCACAACATATTTATAGGAGATAAGACTAGTTAGAGCAACACAGATGGTGAGACTCAAGAAATGCAAAATCTAGATAGAAACACATAAAATTATAAACTCATTACATTCCACTTGGCTTCCTGTGTGTCTCAGAGTCAATGTGAACCAAAAGTGTCACTGCCTTCACAGAGAAAATTTCTCTAATGCAAGTTCACCTATAGTCACAACACTAAGAAAGATAGCTGGTGAAAATAAAATAAACTCCAGAAGTGCCTCGTGCTATTTCCAACAAATACCCCCACAAACTACTTCTGCTGACAGCAAGAAAGATTCAATCTTTCTGGAGTGATATATGTAATGAGTTCTGCCTGTGCTTCTTTGGGAGGAACTTCCACAAAAGATCCACTCAGAAATTGCTGCTGAGAAAAAGAGCAAAGTGCAGAGAACATGCACCTCTCTGAACATCAGTCCCAAGCCTCGGAGGCTAGGAGCGAAGTTACCTCTTGTGCTGATCTGCACCATTGCTCGTTTCAAGACAAAAAGCCTCACCTTTATCTTCAAATTCTTTCACGATGTCTTTCATCATATCTTGGTAGAACGACTCCCCTCTCTCTGTGAGCGTGACGTCCAAGCAGTTGTAGATTTTCTGGAACTCTTCAGGAAGAAAACAAATAGAAAACACTTTCATTAAATCATACAGTGGAAATTTTAGTAGCATATATATTTACTAACAAACACAGCAAATCCCTAAATATGTTTCCTATCTCTCGGTCAAGCTATCAGAGAAGGACTCAGACCAGACCAAGGAGACAAAGGCTTTAGTTGAACTCCCCCGCAGACAGGCCAGTCCCTTGGCTCATAACCCTTTTTCTCTAAACTTGTTATAGCATGGTGGCAGTGACCTCATTAAAAAAACTAGAGGACGGTGAGAAAAACCACACGATGCACGTGCTGAGCTATGGCTGTGAATGGGGCAGTCACCTTTCCGAGACACGTCACAGATCAGCTCCCATGCTTTAATGAAGTCAGGGTCTTTGCTCTGCAGCAGCACCACACATTGGTAGGCTCGTTTCTTAAATTCCTCCTCTGTGTCAAATCTCCTCTTGGATTCCTATGGTAAAACACACTGCATGAAGGAAGCACCGGGTTTTTCCCTCGAAAAAGAGTAGAACATCCACAACACACTCCCAAGGCACGATCATCTCAGACCACAGGTTCTATAATCATTCCCCACATAGACAACTCTAGACCAGATACTGTAATTAACTCATTATCCGTGGGTAGGTAATTGCAATCATCTATTACCCGAACCTGCTTCTCAGCTGTTGACATAAATATCACAATTGTTTGCTACAAATACCTTGTAAAAAGCTTGGAGATCCCCAATGGGAGGAGAAACAGTTAAGTAATCTGGAAATTTGTCTTGCAGGTGAGCAATGAGCATTCCGAACTGGGTGCCCCAGTCTCCTAAATGGTTTAACCTTGAAGCAATTAAAGAGCACAACAAAAATGATTTCTCAAACATATGTCTTAAAACACAAACATTTTAAATACATATATTCTACATGAAAAAACACACAGTAAGAGAAACCAACAGCAGGTAAGCTCTGCCCCTGCTTCAGGGAAATGAAACTGCTGCCAATCTTGACTCCTAACCTCACTACACTTGCTCTGTTTCCTACCTTGCTGCACATCAAGGACTACTTTTTTACGTGCTCATAAAGAAGATCACTGCTGACTAAAGCACAGCGACAGCTACTGTAGAAACGTAGCCAAAGAACCTTATCCCACCCAAAAAGCAACTCTCACCTCAACACATCATAACCTGCAAACTCGAAGAGGCGGCACATACTTTCTCCAATGATGGTGGACCGCAGGTGACCAACATGCATCTCCTTCGCAATGTTAGGGGAGGAGAAATCCAGTATCACCTTAGAGATGGTACAAAAGGAAAACATGAATAAAGGCAACAGCCATTACCTCATCCCATGTGTTTCATGTGGATTCTGTTGGGTGGGCAGAGGGAGGCATGTCCATGCTGCTGGCAGCACATGACAGCAGAGCAGCCTGTGTAGGACCTCAGAGCAGGCTTCAACCCAGGTCTCCACTGCATCTGCCCCAGAGGGTCAGGGATCAGTCACAGACCCGTCTGGGAACAACATACCATCCCCAGGGAGCCCTGGAACCTCAACATTTGGTATGTGTGGGCTCCCATGGTCCCCCCCCATCCTGAAGTCACATAAATGCCACTGTAATGCCCAGCTGACATGGCCACCCATCCAACAAACCACTTTTGGGTGGAAGGGGCAGGACATGAAAGCAGCCTGTAGCCTGGCACGTGCTTCATCCATGCGGGTGCAAGATGCCCATCTGCTTACTGCCATCCATACCCTTTTCCTTTTGCCAATAGCTGGTGGTTGAACTCCATTCATTAATAAACTGCTCAGCTGCTTTGATACGAAATCCTTCCGCAGATGGACGTTGATAAAACCTTTGGAGGAGAAAATCAGCAATGAGCATAGGAGCTGCTTAACTGCCACTCTTCCTATTTTTCCCCCTTGGATTTCTCTTTCCTCACACTGAGGACAAGAGCCTATAAGGTTATCTCCACTAAACAAAAATTTATTCCAGCAACAGCAGAAAAAGCTGTCACTAGAAGACAGATTTTGTACCCAGATTAAAAGAGCCTGTTTCACCCAGTCATGCCCTTTACTGCAGCAGAGTCTGCTTGACCACACACAACTCCTTTTAGCACACTATCACTCAGAGCTGAACTCATAAAAGCTTTCTTTATTAGAAAAGAAATAATCTTATCAGAGTTTGCAGAATGCAAAAAGTAGTCCTACTATCTTTTTTTTTTTTTAATCAATGTCCTAAAATGTAGTTCCATCTGCCGTAATTCATGCTTGTAGGACAAGTGTTTTACTTCTAAGAGTTAATTGCCCAAGCCCCCTGCAGGCCTGTGCCACATTATCTTCATCTTTACACTTCTGCCCTAAGGAATATGAGCCCTATTTCTTCCTAAGTCACAGGGACAAAACAGATGCAGCAGTTAGTAACTTCCATGCTCCTGCAGTGCCAAAAGGGCAAGGCCTCCCCTTAGCCCTATAAGCAACAGTAGACATGCCAGGTCTTGAATGAGAAGGACACACAATTCTTCAGTAATTTCATATGATTGTGATCCCATAACTGTGCATTGATACTCAAGGTGTAAAACTGGTCCTGTAGGGGTTAGGACCACACCAACCAGTTTAAAACAGAGGTAGATCTGCTGCTGTGGAAGCGTAGGGGCTACGAAGCACACCAAGCAGCAGCTACTTCATCTCATAACATCAACTGTAAATGAGAAGTGAGTCAAACTCATTTCAGCTCCATCCAGTATAAAATCACCCCTTCAGCTTTCTAACATAAAAGACTGTAACGTGAAGTATCATACCAGGACCAGCAATTTCAACCTTCTCAATGCATTCGTTCGCAGGAATATGCTCTGTTATTTTCTCGGCGATCTCTCTCGGACTAACCTTCTGTTCCCTGGTTTTGAGCAGTATCTGAAAAACAAGAAGAGCCAGTGAAATTCAATCCTCCACAGCATTCCACAAAATCAAACAGAAAACGTAGATACTACTGTGTTAGAAGAGCCCCACGATCCTTTATCCTCATCATGCAGGCACAAACACACCAAGGAAAACAACTCCAGCACCTTTTAAAGATTAGATCAGCTCTTTCCACACAACAGAAGGCTAATTAGACCCAACACATTCAGCACACCCAAAGGCTGGACGTCAGATGAAAAATCTTTCAGGCTATTAAGTGCTTTGGCAAATTTTGGTTTCCTTAAACTGACTTTAAACTTTAAAAATCGGAACAGCCAGCACGTCCTTTGCATTACTGCCAAACCTTGTTAACCCATTTCACAGGTATCCTCAGCTGTGCCAGGCCTCCTTTCTGAAGAATTTAAGTTGTCCCTGAGAGAATCACAGAATCACAGAGTGGCCAGGGTTGGAAAGGACCTCCAGGATCATCAAGCTCCAACCTCCCTGCCGTAGGCAAGCACCTGCCAACCTCCTCATCTAATACTAGACCAGGCTGCCCAAGGTCCCATCCAACCTGGAATTGAACACCTCCAAGGGACGGGGCATCCACAGCCTCTCTGGGCAGCTGTTCCAGGCACCTCACCACTCTCTCTGTAAAGAACTTCTTCCTGACATCCAACCTAAATCTCCTCTCCTTCAACTTAAAACCATTTCCCCTTATCCTGCTATTATCTACCCTTTGAAAGAGTTGCCTCACCTCCTGTATATAGGCTCCCTTTAGGTACTGGAAGGCTGCAATGAGGTTACCCTATTGTCTTCTCTTCTCCATGGTTTCTGATTTCTGATTACAAGCTACCGAAACAGAGGGCATTCCATTCTTCCTTAGACTCAACCTGAATCAATAAGTAAGTAATAAAAAGCAGAACCCAAGCTACCAAGGACAGTCCTAATGCTGCCTGATTTTCCTTAGAGAACATCAGAAAAACTGCTTGTGAGGCAGCTCTCTTTTTCCCTCCAAACTTCCCACAGAGAGGAGCTGCAGTAACATGACTCAGGTTTCTGTTCTAGGTTATTCCACAATTCACCTGTCCCTTCCCCAGACCTCTCACACAGCTTCTTGCAGATCTTAGAAAAACACCCTTCAGGAGGATGCTTTGAGCTCTCCCCTTGCAAAATGCTACATTCATTCCTATATTAATGCTACATATTTCCTATATTACTGCAACTACTTGTTTCTGATGCACGGTTTTTCGTTCCTAATGTGGCACGTTTGAAAGCATTCCATCACCCCACTCCTACCAAAGCCAAAAAGAACAATTAGATCTTGGTCAATTTAGAATCTAAGCTTGCTACTGCTGCTACATGCTAACTTGCAGTCTGCTGCAACATGTGACTTCTGCTTAGAAGTTAGTCTGCAGTTCAGATCTGCCACACTGCTGATTACTGCAAGATGGTTATGGCTTTGAATGGGCAAGAAATGCAAACTTCTGCAGGGATCAAATGATGTTACCCAGAGTGCAAACTTCAAGAAGAACAAATGCAAAACCAGACGCTACGCATGTTCTGCCGGATGACAGGCATGTCCTCTGAATCACTCCAGAAACAGCCACAGCACTCCTATTACTCTAAGGAACAGGCAGAGCTCCTTGCTCAAGCCCCTGGCATTAATATGCTAACAAGTTCAAAGGAAAACAATACGCATTTGTGAGGGCTGTTTCCACATCAGCGCCTGGAAGGGAGAGGCTGCTGTCTGGCACGTAGTGGCTGCCCTCAGTCAGATGATTCCTGCTCCTCTTGTGGTGAGCAATGCTCCAGCTCCAAAGGTAACTGCAGCACGGTCAGATCTCCGACCTAACTCACTGCTCTCACAGAAATGACTGCGCTGCATCCACTGGCTCTGCTGCACTGATTACCCTGCGTGTGTCAGTCAGTACTCCCAAGCCCAGTGTGTCGCCATGCCTGCCAAGGAACAAACCCTACAGCCAAGCCCAGCACAAGGAACATTTACTCACCAGTACTGCTGACAACGGGGAACTGGTCGGACACTGAGTTATGTGAACAATGCTGACACTGAGAAGCCAGGACGGCTCAAGAATTCTAACAGCGACTTAATTGGGGTAAAGCAGCGGTCAGAAAAATGGCAAAGCTCTGAAAGTCTGTGTCGGTGCAGTCACCCAGCACAGCCCTCTGGCTGCAGCCCAGGCACAGTATGCTAGCAGCGTGCTAACAAGACCAAGGGCAGACATGTATTCAGGAGGCTGTTTCTGCCCTGGCACCGCAGCCCCAGAGCCTGCTGCCTGGCACGTATCGGTGCTGCCCAGGACACAGGCACAGGCACTGCAGAGGGCAGCCTGGGACTGCAGAACTTCATGTGTATTTATCTTAAGAACAAAAGTTGCTTCTGTTGAGACCGCTCACTGCAAAACCAAAGATCTCCAGTTACAAAGAGTTTATCTATTCCCCCAAAGGCAGCAAGGCATTGGAAGTGTGGACACTTCCTTTGTCTAAATGAGGCTGCAGCACCTTGTTCCTCACCTCCTCATTTCACTTCACTACAGTCCCTTCCTACTGAGCAATGCCTGAAGTGCCTCTTACTCTGCCTGGGTCCTCTTTGGCCAACACCTTCTACAAACCAGCAGTGCCCTACTTTTCCAAGCAACACTGCTGGTACTCGCCAGGATTAAAAACCCCACTCCTTCCTTGGCACACACATCACAGGTGTTCTGTGAAGTGAAGCCATTGATAGAGCTGCCCAAAAACCTCCATACATATCATAACAAAACAAACACTATTTCTAACTTCTGATCCATACTTCAACAGAAAATACAGAAGTAATTAAGAAGTACTTAATCATAAATAAAGGAATACAAATGATTTAAATCCTACAAACTTGCCAGTTACTCTGTGGCAACGTATAACTCAGATATTCTCAACTCATTACAGTCATCTAAAAAGAGACATAAAGATCTGCTCTGTAAAGGTCAATGCTTTCTCGATGCCGTTAGATATTCAGTGAATTCTCACCCCAGAGGGCTGAAACAAGCCTTAATCAGGTTCAATACTGCAACTGTCACCAGGCTGTCTACCATTTTGCTTCTAGCAGGCAACATTCCCACTTTTCTCGTCTTTGCAAGATCCCTCAGATTTACCTGTGTTATGCCCATGGCGCTGTTGCACTGATAATCCCCAAATTTGGGCTGCTGGCTCGGTGTCACCACTAGTGGAGGGTTTTCTAACTCTGGGTAGGCAGCCTGAATGGCAGCTCCAAAGATCTCCTGAAGACGGCTGTTGATATTAATCATGCTTTTCACTGTTTTACTTTGTTCCTCTTGAAGGCTCTGGAAAAACAAAACACAGAAAGCTCAATTCACAGCACATATAGAGCAGTCACATCCTGCTTTTCTCCTTGGCTGCCTGGCAAAGCATGACTGAAAGATCCGACTGACATTTCTAGGTACAAGAGCAACATATACAGCATGGAAATCATGAGACTCAAGAGATACATCTCCCTTTGAATATCACAGCGCAGACACTTCCCCTGAACGCAGTGCTGCGTTTAATTCTCACACCAGTCAGTCAGTGATCCTGGTAAAGCAGCTGGGCTGCAGCTCCATGACCATTTGAGGGAGCACAGCGGGGGCTTACAAACCAACATTCTTCATACAGTCACGATTTGTTTAAGGAACCAAGAAACATCTGAAGCACAATCAACACTTAAGACGTTAGAATGCAGAGTCACACACCACTAACTGCAACAAAATGACATCATTTATTTACTTTCTCTTAATGAGAACAGAACCACGTAATGCACCTTAAATTCTCTATTCCCTTACCTTCTGAAGGAAATTCAACCGATACTTCAGTTTCGCGTTTTCGTCTCGCAAGCCTTCCAAACTTGGGGAGACTCCCAAGCACCCAAAGTTCTTCAGATGCTCAATTTCTGCAGTTAGTGACTTAATCTCGTTTTCCTGAAAAGCAAATGAGATGGACACACAGTGGGTCTTGGAGAAGGGGAACAGCAGGTGGGGAGTGCAGGACTTCAGGTGTAGTCCTGCCTTATAAAGGTAACAACTACAAGCAAGTCAAGTAATTCCAACCATCTGCTGTTTCAAGGTGGTTTCTATTTGTGCCAAAAACATGGGTCAGTGAGGTAGCCATCATCTTACTAAGCTCACAACAGAAGCACGAGAAAGACAACAGGTAAGGCTAAGAAAATACATTCTTAAAAAAAGCATTTCCTCCAGCTTTTCCTTTACAATTTAGCAAAGACATCCAATGCTTCGATTCCAAATTCCCTGAAGCCTCCTTCAGGAGTTCAGCCAGTTCCACCACTTCCAAAGCTGGGCCACATTTTCTCTCCCAGAGGATGAACCCACAACCACTGATGCAACCTGAGCTCACGGGGCAGTGTGAGGCTGGCCTGCAGCGTGTGCTTGCTCCCAGCTCATGGCGTGTTTCCTCCCCTGCTGCCGCAGTGGCTTCTTCTCTTAAAACTGCCATGGGAGAAATTTCAGGTGGACTTTTACACTCCAAACAAACAAGCTCCAGCTTTCAGCCGTCCTTCAGGTTTGTGCCCTCCACAGCCCAAGAACTCTTTGCAGGAGTAGCACCCACCGCTCCCCTCGCCCCTCCTGACCTCACAGCCCAGGTGTAATCACACAGCCCAGCAGCCCAATGCTGCTGCAGGGAGCAGCCACTTCCTTCTCCCAGCCCCAAGGAACCCAGCACTCATAAGCTTCTTTCCTGTTGTCCACCTCTCCTGTAACCTGTTCCACAAGGAGAAGTCAGGGTGCTGCTGGAAACACGTGGCAGCTCTAGGAGGCAGCTCCCCATCCTGACCCCTCATCCGACCAGGCTCTGGGCTATCAACATGCTCGCAGCAGGAAGCAGCTCAGGCTATTATCACAGACAAATATGCTGCCAAACCTTACAAAAAGAGCTCGTTTGCTTTTTGCTCTTGGAACAGTTGAAACATTTTTTAATTAAGGAAACAAAATCTGGGTCATCCAATCTTCTGGCCCAGTATCTTCACCTGAACAGCAGCTCCCACAAGTGCCAGCGTCACTGCAGATGCTCAAAACTTCAGAGCTGGGCCAAAGTGATCTTAAGATTGCTCCATCCGCATAGCAAGCTGGAAAGCTTTTGAAAAGTTTTGAGGTCATTCCTCATTTGCACTTTGGCTTCAATGCTTCCAGCACACCTCTTCTACAGCTCCAAGGTGTCCTCTGCCACAGGAGAACAAGCTGTGCCCTGCAGTGTTAGATGATGCAGAACCAAAGCTATAGCTCAAGCAGACCTGCTTCCAACAGCTGGCTGGTCTTCTGTATCTTATTACTTCTCTTTTGAAACCCAAGTCAGACCCTTTTGCTTTCATACACCTTTCCTCCCACTAATCCAAGAGAAAATATGCTTTCCTTATTTAAAAGTTCTCTTACTACCCTGACTTGGTGGTGTTTCATACAGCTTACAGATCTGCTTGACAAAATTCCATACTGAACTTCACATTAAAATAGCTTGAGAGATTTCATCGCATTATTTCATGGCTGTTTCACTGTAAATTTAAGTAAGCACTATGGCAACAAGCAACTCGGAGCAATGCTGGAGAAGCAAAACAAATAAACTCACCTACACTCAAAAAACCTAGAATGTACTTTAAGAAAAACACAAAGATGAGGTTCTACTCTCAAGGTCATGTTATCTGTTAAGTCCTGCATCCACCAGCTCTCTGGCTGCCTACCCAAGCATTGCTGCTGCCATATAAATTTCCCCTTTTTCGCTCTTCAATGTCTAATGCAAACGACGAATTGATCTCATTCAGAACCACTGAGCAGAAAGACTGAAAATCAGCTGGCATTACATCATGTACCAGAACAGAGGGGATGAGAAGGGCTGAGCCAGCAGCACGACCACACACTCATCATTAAGATCACCTGAGAAAGTCTTTGTACACACACATTACAAACACCCTTAATGACAACCACCTGCAATAAGCCTGCAAATAAATCTAGCAAATCACCTGTGAATGCTGGGTATTGTTAAACAGATACAAATCCTGAAACCTTCCTAAAAAATAGATTACTACATTAAAGCACGGATATCCCTCCTTTCCCACAGTATATTCTGAGGGAGAGAACACAACAGCACTACACCTCCGATCTGCAAAACAAGTAACTGAGGAAAGGAAGGGAAAAGCTGCTGTTCCAGGAATAAAACTCTATTCCCTACTCTACCTGCACAGCCCTGGATGCATCACAACTTGTCAGTAAAGGGTCATACCTGATGACCACCTCACAAGAAGCTGCGGGAATTGCATGAAGCCATGCTGACATCTCCAAGGGCTCTTTGGTCAGCTGAGTACTAGCAATCTTCCCCTCACCTGTAAATACAAAAAAACTATAGCTTTTTCAAAAAGACCAAAATAATCCTTGTATTTTCTGTGAGCGTGTAATTCAGGCTCCACTGAACTATCACTGAACTTGTACACACTTCAGTCTTGGGTACACAGTGTTATTTCGCTGCATTAAAAAAATGAGAAAGCAAATGGCTGACAAAGCACAGCAGCCTTAGGAGCAACTCTCTCCCTTTCCCTTCTCGCCACCTGCACGTTTTTATTTGCTCCTCCCGCCTGCCTCACCAGCTGCTGAGCCGGCTCAGCATAGTGGCTGAGCACACTGCTTTCTTTGCAGACTCGCTCTCCTGAAGAGCTAATGAACCCTGCTGGCCCCCAGGGGTCTCCGGAGTTGGGACAAGGGCTCAGCCGTGAGATTACTTTCCTCTCAGCAGCTACAAAGGAAAACGCAAGGAGCTGCACACGTTCAGCAACCAGATATATTATCTCAGTGTTTAACGGAAGTGCTTCTCTTATGTTTAAATTGTGAGCTGAAAACGTACCGCAGCTTTGTCTGAGCACACGCGTATGGCAGGGAAAACTCACAGCTCGGCTGTGCAGCAATCCCTCATGCCCAGGCACGTTTTGGGGCACCGTGAGCAGCACACCTGCAGAAGGATGCGACGTTTTCCTAAAGCTGTCCGTGTACCCTATACCCTACTGTTAACGCAAGCAGTGCTAACGCTGACTGGACAGCCTTTCATCTTTACATACAGCCCCTGGTAATAGCTGGCTCCATCCTCCTTCTCCACCACAGCGCTCTAGGGCCACCACTCCCCTGCGGGAACACCCGGGGCTGCCGCCTCGCCTGGGCCAACCGGGATCCTCCGGCCCCGCGCAGAAGCTGCCCCACTCCGCAGCAGCGCTTTGGCTCTGCTCGTTCCCCAGAAGCACGGCCGTGGCAGCGCCAAATACTCCGCCCGTTTTCTTCCCTCGAATACGAAGCCCGCCCCACAGCCCGTGGCTGCACGGTTCTTCCCCCCCTCCACCCGAGGATCTCCGCGCGCCTTCACCACCCGGGAGAAGCGCCCGGCCGAGCCGCGCTAAGCGCTCCACTCCCGCCCCCACCTGCCGCGCCAGCCGGGCCGCCGCCTGCGCCACGCGTGCCTCCATCCTCCCGCTGCCGGAGCGGGCGGAAGCGGAAGCGGCAGCGCCAGAGCGGAAGCGGAAACGCCGACGTGAGAGACAGCGCCCCCGAGCGGAGGGGAGGGCGCTGCGGGTAGGAGCCGCGGCTGGTCGGGGGATGACGTCACGCAGCGCCGGTATGCGGGAGACAAGAGCAGGCGAGGAGCCACGGGTGTGCAGAACGGTTGCTTTATTCGAAAACCCCGCACGGAGCCGGGGGCCGCCACCCTCCGCCCGCGGCTTCAACGGGTGCCGCAATCCCGCAGCCCTGCGGTGCACCGCGGCCCGTGGGCTCACGCTTCCCGTGCAGCACCTGCGTGCCTCACACGGCCCTCGGGCCTCGCTCACCGCACGCACGGCCGCCCCGCAGACAGGCAGCTGCTGCCGCACCGTTTCTCTACCGTTGCCGACTGCCGTCAGGCTGCTAAAAGGCTGAGCTGTACAAAAGGTTTAAACAGCGTTATTTATGAATAACAGCAGCGGATGTGGCTGCTTTTGTTCTTATTTAAAATTCTATTTCCCAAAAATACATTCCTAAATATACAAACTATACAATCTTGTCACTTGAATGCTGGTTTCTGTGATGATATACGTCAACCTGAAGTCCTTAAAACATCCACGCACTGACAGAAGCTCTAACGTAAAAAGGCCTCGGTACCTTCATATACCACATAAATAACTTCAAAACAAACAAACAAACTGCAGTTGTAGAAGTGTCCCGAAAGCAAATACTTTATGGTGATCACACGTCATCCGCAGAGAGTGTTGGAATGTTTATCCTGGGCCGTGTGAAAAATGCCATTTTCTCTCTAGAAGAAGATGATCACTGTTAGTGCAATAGAGGTCCCACCAGAAATGTGCATCATCAGCATAACATGTATCCCACCATCTGCCACCACCAAGAACAGCAGCACTCCCTCTCTCGAGCTACACCTTTTACGCACACACCACAGATCCTTGCAGCTAAACCCACAATACTGATCTAATTAAAAAAAAAAAAAAAGCCATTTCAGAAAGGATCATTATTGGCACGATGAGTAATGTTACTTAAAGAAGCAAAGGACTGCTTCTGCATTAAAATAATGATTTGCATGTTTGGTGCCAGGTGGGGAATGATTTGGACTATTTCTAGCTGCTCTGCATTCACACGCAGTGCTGCAGTTAATTCTGACTTCCAGATTGGATTTGAAAATTGAATTGGTTTAGCAGAACAGTTCACTACTTGTACAAAAGCCAGCTGTATCAGTACAATAATCATCCACAAAGAAGGCAGTCCTCACCCCCTTTACCACATGATCCACGATTACCTGAATGACTGCACTTCCAAAGGCTCCTTCCGACTCTGCCCTCGGAGCCGGTGAACGTCCTTGGCAGCAGCTCTCATCATTTTATCAGCTTTGAGCTCACACTTGTGTTCTGTTTTTTCCACCTAAAAAAAAGCAGAAGAAAGCTGTTTGTGTTTCCGGGAGGAACTGCTCTATTTGAATAAATCTGTAAATACAGCAGTTTCACCTGCAGGTCTGAATGGTTTGAAAACTGCTCACACTGGAAGCAGAAGCCACAGAAGGTAAATCGAAGGCTTGTCAACCATTGTAACCAGGAGAGCTTTTTGTAAGGTCTTCTTCAAGCCCCTCGCTAAGACTTACGGCTATCATCTGTGTCTTCTTTGTATCATGATTCTATCATGATTCTTTCAGTTTATGCAAGAACATGGTAATCTATCTTCCAAGCTCTATCCCAGAGGGCTTCTTTTTTTTAAAAAAAATCAACTACATGCTGCATCATCAGAACTTAAAATATTTCTGCCTGATGCCAGAGGTGCTGTGATAAACTAGGAAAGCTGAGAAGCAGCCCTATGTGCTAGGGAAAGGAACTTGTAGATGGAGTAAGGTTAAGTGCTAACCACTGCACACTGCACCCTACTGTAGCTTGGGAGGCTGAAGTTTACAGAACAGATGGGATTTGTGAGTTTCCATACTTGCACCTGAACTAAGACAGGAAATCCTTGTGCTGCACGGGTTCAGGAGTAACAGAATGCTGCAAGGAAGCTGAAGAGGCAAGACAAACTCCAACAAGGTTAGGAGAGAACTCAGCTCAGGGGAGTTCATACATCCATGCTAGACATACACTAACTAGAAATGATCATCATCTTAACCTCATGATCATCATGCACAAGTTTTATTGAGCCATCATTTCTCTTAGGAGAAGTAGATTTACATGCTATCCTCCTAACCTTTGTATTTGCAGGCAGGCAGGCACAGACTGCAGTCTGCAAACAGAATCTGAGAACAGCAACTTCCATCATCAATAGCTTGCTGATGGAATCGTAAGTACAAGACACGAGCGAACGCAGTGCTAAGGTTTAATTTCCAGGTTGTCTGAAATCCCATTTCTCAAATCACACTTCTCAAATGTTAAACAAAATCCAAAGGCAGGTATTACTTACTCGTTTTTCTACTAGCCTCAGCAGCAGTCGAAATCTCTCATCATCCTTCACCCACTGCGGTAACTCTTTCTCACCCTGACTTTGAGCTTGTTCTAACTGTTCCTTCAGTTCTCTCAGCACAGAGATCTCCTGAACCAGCCGATCATGCCAGGTTTTTGAAGCCTGCAGGTCCAGCTCCAGGTCCAGTGAAGTGCGAATCAGGCGCTCTGTACCAACAGACTTAATTGAAGGCTGAAAAAAAATTTATGGACAAGAGTGAGAACTACCCAGAGCTCACTGAAGACCCAATAATTTTATGAGACTGTTCTTGTTCTTGCAATACCTCTTAGTTAAAAAAAAAAATCTGTCCTGAGATCTGAAGCTGTATTCTTTTTACCTTCTTTCCCAGCTCATCACAGCACAAGCACTGAATGCTATTACAACAATAAACACAGCAGAAAAAATTTTGCTACTCAGCTCTACGATGGGAGATATCAGGAGCAATCTTTCTAAAATGATTTCTCTAAGCAAACTCTGAAGTGAAACAATCCTGTCACATTCTGGTATTTCAAGTAAATTATCCTTAAGAAAAGTATCTCACATGCAAAGAAGTTTCCGAATGAAAACACTTGGCAACTGATTTGTGTTTACAAAACATTCTCCCTTTTAAACAGTTTTCGCTTCTTTTCTTACACATCTGTACTGGACAAAAAGCAAGCAGTGATGCTTTTACCCGTTTCACTCTGACGCTTCGTCTCTCCATTGCATTTCGAACAAAGGGGGTTTTTTTGGATAGCGTTGAACTGTCACTATCACTGCGATTCAGCTGAAAAATGGAAGTGAAAAAACATCCATCAAACATACAAGTACGTACTCACATTAGCAGCAACATCACAGTGTAAGTTGTGATGTAAGCAGAACTTTCAGGTTTCGTAAAGACTGCAGTAGATGCTGCCCCCCCAAAAGACTGAAACTTCTGAAGTCAAAGGGGAAGAGAAGAAAGCAGTGTCAGGACTCGGTAAAAAACTGAGACTATGCAAACACTGGTATCATTCTCTCATTAATGAAAAGCAGTATGTTACAGATCCAGGGCTGCATTTTCCTTACCCGACACACATACTGACTTTGTGGTCCCGGTGAAAATGTTTTGGAGCGGATGATGGTGCTACCCCTGACAAACTGAGTCTGTGGTGGATTTGCTGCTCTTTTGTCTTTTGGACGAACTACAGCAGAGGATTGTGCGAGGCTCTCTGTGTTTGTCTCTTTATCCACCTGAAAGACAGACACTGCGGTGTAAAATGCCAGCTCGCCATCTTAGCAGTGACATACCCAGGGCTGTCTGGCAGCCACCTGTGATAGATCTCTGCTTTCAGCCCAGAGGCATCGCACTAAAAGCCAGATGCTCTTTAGCCCTTTTCATACAGGGTGTTCTGACACTTCACTCTGAACTCAGCAGCTGCTACATTAACTGTATTGCTCCCTAAGGGCTCTGTGTCCATTGATTGCTGTGCAATGAGCTTTGCCTGTTGGATCCAGCACATCAGTGTGAACCAGCAATTTCGCATACAGAAAGTGAGTTACAATTTTGAAGACCACTCTCTTACCTTTTGTGCATCTGCAGCAAATACAGATATAAATAGCTGTACCTACATGCACAGAGAGCAGATCTAGAGCACATTAATTATGCTTGTGAGAATGTAGTAACACTCAGAACTATATAAGGTCAAAGCCACAGCCACATATTAATGAAAACAGTTTCCATGAATAACAAAAGAAGGCGTGAAAATGCTTATTAACCATGGGGAAAAGTGGTCATGCAGTTATTTAATATTTCAGTTAGGTAAGCATTTAAAAATCAATTATGAGCTTTCAAAAACTGCTGTAGCTCTATAACAGCAATCCAGTCAACTAAGCAGCAGCAATTTCTCCCTTTCAACTGAAACCTTAAATAAAACAAGAGCTCCCTTAGCAGGAGATGAACGGAAAGGAGAAAAATGTTGACATCAGACAACAGAAAATATTCCAATAAGAACAACAATTTTTTTGAGTTTCTAGAAGTCAGAAAATCTTTTGTTAGAAAGAAGAAAAAAGCACAGCTAATAAAATACACAGCCTTATGTGCAGTATCACAGGATAGACAATACTGGTTCAGCATAAAGGACTTTGGGGTAGCATTACACTTCACTCTTCAGAGGAA